TCTACCTGATACTGACAATGAATGATGTCCAAAAGGGCATATCTTTGTAGATTACAATAGTTTGTGCAACTTTAAAATGACAATGAATGCCTATATATATATTTCAAATTAAAAAAAAAAACTGCCTAATTCTGTGAACGGTACTCACAAACATGTTAAACCCCGCCACATTTCTTATGTGCCTGTTCCTACGCATGTTACTCAATGGTTGTCGTTTGATGTGTCTGTTATATTTGTTTTCGTTTACTGTTATTTCATAAATCAGGTCGTTGGTTTTTCTCGTTTGAATTGTTTCATATTTTTCAAGTGAGGGCTTTTATATTTGATACAAGTTCTGTTCATTTTTTTAAGGCCGTACGTTGACTTTCATGTATAGTCGCATTTATTATACCTCAGTTATCATTTTCTATATAAAACAAGTACACAATATTTTCACTATTTTTCAAATTACAAGCGTTGAACTATTGGACCGGTTAATAGTTTCCAACTATTGGACCTGGATGAAACTATTTGACCGCAAGCGTCATTATATTTCGCGTCATTTTAAATGCAGCTACGGGATTGGCTAACGGGTTTTTATCAGTTCATTCGGGTCTTTCAAAATTGATCACAATCATAAATGTCGATTCCCGAGTCGTTCGAACACACACCAAATCATCATCAGACGACAGCATAATGGCTCAATTTGGGACGGTTTGCATCGCTCTCAGATGGAGATTTAGAAGGTTTGAATTTGGTAAAGATGCAAAAAACACTAAATCAGTTGTCCGAACTGCCAAAAAAATTATGTCAGACTATCTTAAAGAAAAAGACGGTGAGCTGAAGTCTTTAGAAGAGTTGGATGAGGTCGATCCCAATCTTCTTAATTCCTCACTCAGGAAGTTCTATGGAGAAATTCGCAAGTCAGACGGAAAAAATTATGCCTACAAGTCAATGTCCACAATACGTTTTGGATTACAAAAACATTTCATCCAGTCTAGAGACATAGATATTGTAAATAATGACATTTTTGCAACATCCAATGCAATGTTCAAGGCAGTAATGGTTCAATTGTCAAAAATGGGATTAGGAACCGTCACACACATAAAGAATGTTCAAGGCAGTAATGGTTCAATTGTCAAAAATGGGATTAGGAACCGTCACACACATAAAGATGTAATAAGTCCTGAGGACCTACAAAAATTGTACAGTCATGAGAAATTTTCACGTGATACTCCAGAGTCCCTGCAGAATTTTTTAATATGAATTTTACTTCTGTAATCGTGGAAGGGAGAATCTTAGAGAAGTGCAGAAGGTAGATTTTGAACTGGGACGAGACGGACAGGACAGAAAGTATGTTGGACTGAAAATATGACGTCAAACGAAGAATCACAGAGGTGAAAACTTGGCTGACATTGATCATAGTGATGGCAGAATGTACGAACTACCAGGTAAAACATCTCAAGTTAAAATCAGTACAATAGTAAACACATTTAACTTTTTCATTATTGCAGACTATCCATGCACCTTGCTCAAGTTTGAACTTTTGTTGTCGCATTATTTGAAATTGTAACAAACACGGCAAACCGAACAAAAAAATAAAATGAAAAACCAAGAATTACCACAAAAACTAAAAATAAAATATACCGAAAGGACCTACAATACAAAAATATAGCTACATATTGTTACATTTTGCGCATCTCAGTTGGAAACTATTGACCGGTCCAATAGTTCAACTTTTGTAATTCGAAAAAAATTAATAGTGAAAATATTGTTACATATTTTATATAATATAGAAAATGATAACTGACGTATAATATGATATACATAATATTTCCTATAATATTTTTTATTTTGAATTTCAGGTGACGTAAATTGTCCAGTTGTCACATTTACAAAGTACATGAGCAAGCTCAACCCGATAAATGCTAATTTTTGGCAGAGACCGAAACCTGCGTCCAGTGTTTCGTCTACAGATGATTTATGGTTTGATAATATTCCTGTGGGAAAAAATTCACTCGGTAACATGATGCCCAAAATAAGTACAGAATGTGAACTTTCTAAACGCTATACAAATCATTGCATACGTAGTACCTGCATCACATCCCTTGACGATCGGGACATTGCAAGTAGACATATTATGGGCCTTAGTGGGCATAAGTCAGAGAAGGCTCTTGCTTCGTACAGTCATAGACTCAGCGAGAAGAAAAAACGGCAAATGTCTGACGTACTAAGCACTGCTGTGAAAGGAGAACCTGTCCCCGCAAAGAAATCTACAAGTACCGTAACTGGTCCAAAACCAGTGGCAGTGCCGTCTAAATCATCAACTGTTTCTTGTCCTAATATTCCAAATGATGTGAATGATGTTGAAATACCAGACTTTTTGTCTGATGATGAAGCTATTGCTAATGTTTTGGACGACATTACCAACTTTGAAACACATCAAGTGCCTGTTCAAAATAATTCTCAGACAGTGACAAATGCGCCAACTTGTAATTTAAACACATTTCAGATCCCAGCTGGATTTCCGACTCCGCCAGGTTTCGCCATCAGCAGCATTAACAATTGTTCTGTTAATTTCTACTTTCAACAAAAGTAATGACTATTGGTTATCAAATGAATTTGTTAAAATTGTTGTTCTGTTAACTTAATTTTGTTGTTATGACAAAAAAAATTGAAGCTTTAAACTTACAATTACTTTCTTTTATTGGAACCCATAATTACAATTGGATAATTGTCATCACTATCTGTCTGTCGTCTCTTTCAAATATAAAAAGTTATTTTGGTCAGCAATGTCGTTTAGGACTTGGCATCACTTTGTGTCCGTTGTCTCTTTCAGTATAATAAAACACTTACTGACTGGATATTCGTGGAATAGTAAGTTTATTGTCCTCTCGGATACAACTATTGCCCTCGGCTACACCTCAGGGCAATAGTTGCACCTTGGGGACAATAAACTTACTATTACACTCATACCCAGTCAATAAGTATACAATATCTACGTCATTTGGACTATGGTGGTTAGTTGTCTCATTGATAATCATACCACATCTCTTTTTTCTATGTAAATAGATATAGGAAGATGTGATATGAGTGCCAATGAGACAACTCTCCATCCAAGTAACAATTTATAAAAGTAAACCATTATAGGTCAAGGTACGGCCTTCAACACGGAGCCTTGGCTCACACCGAACAGCAAGCTATAAAGGGCCCTACTAGTGTAAAACCATTCAAACGGGAAAACCAGCGGTCTAATCTATATAAAATCGAGAAACACGTATGAACTATTTAAACAGACGACAACTACTGTACATCAGATTCCTGACTTAGGACAGGTGCAAACATTTGCAGCGGGATTAAACGTTTTAATGGTACCAAACCTTCCCCCTTTTCTGAAACAATAGTATAACATCACAACATAGAAAGACATACTATAAAATATCAATTGGAAGGCTTGACTCAATCAAAAAACGCAAATTAACACACAATGAACGAATAAATTTGATCTGTGATACCTGAATGCAAATACATAGTTAATAAAAATTATAAGGGATAAATAATTAAGGTTGAAAGTAATTAACAGGTTTAAACAAAGTTAAAGTATGATACCACTGTGAAATGTTAAACAATATTTAGAAAATCATCACTTTTGAAAAAACCTGCGTCAAATTATACACAGGTGAATGAAAATAATTTTGTTGTTAAGTATACTTCTTCTTCTGTGTGTATAAAATCTTCCGTTTAGGAATACCAAGAAATGTCTTTAATATCAATAAAACTAATCTAACACTTGGTACATATGGGGTGAATATCAACAATAAAACTATACAATTAGTGCTAGATAAAACTTCCTGTACAGGTGTAAGAACAGTATTTAAGGAGAAATGAAATAATTTTGTTCATAGTACGAAGAAGTGAAAATTTGTAGTAATTCCAAATAATCAAAGCTGGTATATAGACAAGATCCATGTTAACATCAAATAACAAAAAAGCATTACAAATAGTATCGACAGGTCAAACCAAAGCATTTAATGGAAGTATAAATAAAAATGATTATGGGTAAGTGAAAATAGTTTCTTTATGTTTGTTTATTATCGGTATAATTGATTTAAACCGAATGTCAAGTATCAGTTATTGTAGAAGCTCCGTGAACATTTGGATGTACTTTTTCTAAAGAACTGTTATACGTAACAATAAATGATTATTCTGCAAAAGAGTATTGTTACTTTTTTTTATTGATATGGTCATAATTATATATTAACTGTTTACAAAACTTTGAATTTCTCGAAATACTAAGGATTTTCTACCCCAAGAATAGATTACCTTAGCTGTATTTGGCAAAACTTTTAGGAATTTTTGGTCCTCAAAGCTCTTTAACCTCGTACTTTGTTTGGACTTTAATACTTTTTTGACTTGAGCATGACTGATGAGCTTTTTTTAGGCGAAACGCGCGTCTGACGTCCAAAATTTCAATCCTGGTATCTATGATGAGTTTATTTTCAGCCAATAACATGTTTTCCTGTTCGATAATTGTGGAAATCGTCGATTTTCGATTATCGATGTCACTGATGATGAAATTTTGTTGGCATTATTATACAAGTTCTTATTTTGATATCAATGCTTTACTGGCATTTTAGAACATTGATATCTTTATCTTACAAAAAAATAGAATATCACTTTAATCCGGGACATTACATATTTCGTTAATATACTTTTCCAGCTTTAATATATGTATAGTATAAAAGGACTTTGAAGCTTGACTATAACGAATGTTTCTAACTTTTTTTAATTTGAAATAATTAAAAGTTAATTTTCATGACGCTAAATGTGTTGTCTTGTCCCTAAGTGATTCTTTTTGTCGCTTCTTGACGATAAATAGTAGTCTTGTCTCTACTTTTAGCTTCCTGAAGCTTTTTGTTGCTAATTAGGTTTTATTCAATTTCAATATAAGACTTTGCTATATTTGACTTATGGTTAATACGCACATGTGTGTTATCAAATCTCTTTTCTTATAATTGCAGTTGAATTTATACGTGATTTAAGACAAAATTTGCCATTAATACATGTACCAGGAAAAGGTAGGTACAGATTGTTTGGAAATAATCTCCTTGTGACACTATTCTGCACAATTATTTACATCTCACCAGTAGTACTAACATATTTGTTATTAGAAGTAATAAGAATACTTAGTTACTTACAAACAAATTCTGTAGTTAACGTTTTTGGTACTTTTAAGAATTTTTAATCATTGGTACTTATCAGAAGAAGAAGATACAAATATGACAATAACAAATTCGGAGTCGAAAAAAAACCCACGCTATTCAATACAAAAGCCAACCACCGAAAGACAAACAATTCAAAAAACAAACAAGGGGCATAGCTCGTTAAAAATATTTGATCAGAACTTATTTTCGAAAGTGTCAAAGACATTGCTGCTATAAACCTATGATATAAGTTTTATAAAATTCTGGCAAGAATTGAACACATGGAAGCGATAACATTGCAATTCTCCATATAATCAATATTTTCAAGGGGCATAACTCTTTTAAAAATAATTGATCGGCACTGATTTTTGAACTCTTCAAGTACATTGATGATATAAACATATAATATAAATTTCATAAAAATCTGGTAAGAATTGTACACATAAGAGCGCTTATAAGACAATTTTCCATAGATTAAATATTTCCAAAGGGCATAACTCTTTTAAAAATCATTATTATATTAGACGCCCGGTATTTCCATGTCCCCCGAAAAGCGTTACGCAGGGGACAATAATTTGGCAACACGAATCACATCGACAGGAAACGCAAATAACTAAATAACTCATTGAAAATGGCGAGTTTCACAGTCAATATATTGATGGTACCAAAAATATTAACTAAAGGCTCACTTTTTTTTCTTGTTTTTTGTTGTTCTTTATTTTTGATGAATGTAAGCTGTGCCATCAAAACTATTATTAGATACTCATTCCGAATGGATTATGCCTGTCAGGTTGTTTATACAAATGTAGAATATAATGGAAACGGAAGGGGTCAATATTCAATCATACTACATCCATCCCAAAATACCATTCTGCTGCTAAAAAACTGTTCTACTTCAATGACAAAAATTCGTTATCCCGCAGACAATGCCACCAACAACGCTGTTTGTTCAACACATTACACAAACATCTCGTAAAAGAAAGTTTGTTTTGATAATTGTCGTTGTACTGATTCCGTGACCAACAATTATAAACAAAGAGGGAATCCTGAACTATTATATGTGTGTTAAATGTTTCTTTTGAATGTTAACCAAAGAATAAGAACTTGATGTTACTTTACTGTAGACTAAAATAACATGTATGTCCTTACAAACAACGTTTTATTGTTTAGTCTTCAAAATGCACCACGAAACATCTAACTTATCTATAAATATTCATTAAAATCGGAGATCTGAGTAACTGTGAAACTACCTACTCTTGGAATGGTGTGAATCAGATGTCGATACTGTCAAAACCAAAAGATGTTTATAGTAAATACAACAAAAGTGTCTTCCCTCTTACTGTAGTATAAATGTAACACATTTGACTTTTCCACCCTTCATACTAGTATTCAAGACAGATTTAAAGACTTAGTTCATCTTTGTTTAAAAAAAAAGAATAACCAACGTAGAAACAAATGTCTTGTTTTAGGAAGGAATAAATCCACTCTAAGTCGCACAAAAATTATCTGAAACTGACATCAACAAGACTTTTGAATATTTGATTGCCAATATATTTTTTACCGTTGGAGGACGTGTTTTTTTACCAGACAATCGGAATTTAAAGGGAACCAATTCGGATCCTCTTAAAACCTACTGGTTTCATTATTCACATGAGGCAGTCTTCATACAAAAGTTTAGAAGAAATACAAAAAAAAAAAAAACAATCTTGCCATTATCTTTTAACTTCTGTTCTGAAAATGAGGTTCACTAAAACATTAGAAGTTTGGTGACTATCGTTTTCTTCCAACTTAAAATAAAGGTACCACAGATACAATTATGTCTTGTTCATACTTCTTGAAATAGCCAATGAGGGTTTATCGAGAACAAAAAGTTAAACAAAGAGATGATTTTAGCTTTTCAAATTTGAACCTGCATATGGAGAATATATATGTTTCTCAGTTAAAACGATTTTCAGGAGCTTGTGTCTCTCTTAATTTTTCTTGTTTGACGGGGGCCGAGTTGTCTAAAAGATAGACGAAGGATACCAAAGGAACATTCAAACTCATAAGTCGAAAATAAACTGACTACGCCATGGATAAAAAAGAAAAAGACAAACAGACAAACAACAGTACACAAAAGACAACATAGAAGACCAAAGACTGTACTACACTGAAGTTGTGAGTTCGAATCCCGCACGTGGCAGGTGCGCTCGACTCCAATCTTGATTGACTAGGATTGTCCGTTTTCCTGCGGAGGTCGGTGGTTCTCTCCGGTTACGCCGGCTTCCTCCACCAATAAAAGCTGAATGCCACGAAATTGCCCCATAATATTGAAAGTGGCGTTGTTTGGCGGTTGATGCTTAACAGAATGCTATTTTTAGGATGTTATCACGAGTTAGCTGAACATTATGGAGTATTCGTGATACAAATGACCCCATATATGTTGTAAATGTCGTAGCCACAATTTCTAAATCGTCCACTTTTAAGCATCACTGAAGTAGACATACCTTGAGCAACACGATGGGTGTTTCTTGTCTTGTCATGCTGGAGTATATTAGATCAACCCCAATTTTTGGTCGGATTCTTGGCGCTCAGTCTTCATTTTCATAATTTTTATTATGTCGTTACTTTTGTCGATGTTTGTTTTTGCTACTTATGATATCTATTTCGTCCGACTTTGTTTTTTGAAGAATTCGTCTTGTTGATAATTATTACTTTTTAAACTTTTAATATGTTTAATTTGCCTATCAAAGTATTCAACATATCATGTTAAAACACCTAAATTGCTAAAAAATCATCATTTTAGGGTAAAAGTTCATGACGATTTGGTAATACGATGTTTATTTCTGATAATTTATTCTATCTGCAGTCTTTTTCTACCTGCTCAATTTTCCACAAAAAGCGTCAAAGGAGTCAAAACTGCCATTCAAGACTAACACTAATATTAAAAATCGACTGACAATATTGGCAATATGACTTATTTATAGACCATGTCTTGTAGATCATTTATACGATTAACAGTAACTGTTCCTGTTTACATGGCTATTAAACAGTCTATTGAAAGTGCGAATAAAAAAAAACCGGTTTCTGATGCGGAGCAGCGATATTTACTAATATGGAAGTGTAAATATGCAGACTTTTCATGAGTAAAAAGATGTTTTCCGAAATGATTTTTTTTTTTTAATATCTAGAAATATCAAAGATTAGGTCCTGAATTGTTCACGCGACAAACAGGAGAGTGTTATGTATAAATATGCCAATGAGACAGCTCTCAACCATGAGACCGAATGACGTAGAAGTTAACAACTAATGAACAAAACCCATACACGATAGTCAACTATAAAAGGCCCCGAAATGACAAATGTAAAACAATTCAAACAAGAAAACTAACGACCCTGATAAGAGTCTGAAATGGATAACTACTTACCTGTCAATGTCGTTTTAAAGGAAAAGAATTCAGCGCATCTGTAAAACGAGAAACAAGGCTAGATATCTTTATAGATTTATCAACCGTTACTGTCAACATATCGTTTAAATACAAACCAAAATTAAGTCCTTAAATATTTCAATAGTAAAATAATAGAAAAAGTTTATGTCCGTGGAAACATTCTATTGATATGTTTTTTTTTTTATATAAATGAATTATTAAATTATATTTATTCTATTGAAGATGCTATACTTTTTTAATTCAATTGCATAATGTTTCTATTGTAACTACAACTTTTATTCTATGCGATATATCAGTTTATAGCTCACTGCTAAACTTCAAAATAAATCTTTAAAGCATCTATTGAAACTCTTAATTATTCTTCAAACATAATTTGATTAGATATAAGTTATATATTCATTGTTGGTAAATAATTGTTTTGCGTTTTTTCCTGTGATGTTAAATTTTATCTTCCGTGTCAAGGACTTTCCGTGTCCTGTCTTTGTTGGGAATAATACTTTTGCCATATATGAATTCATTTTACAGGTTTTATTTAAACCGTAAGATTGTATTGTCTCTCTGAATATTTCTTCATCTTAAGAAATAGTATGTCTTTGTTTTTGAGGCTTTTTACAGCATGACCTATGATACAATCGAATAGTTTGAAAGAATAGGACAGTAACCATATTAAAATTCCGCCAAAGCCTAACATTTAAAATAGAATTATTTAGTAAAACGATAAGATCATGTATTATGGACTTGGAAGGTGGTAAATATTGTGCAATATTGATAGGGAAATCCAAAACTGATCGATTCCCAGTCAAACTCAGTAAAGACCCGTTTAAATTTCAATTAATTGATAACATTGAAATTATTTAAAAGTGTGCACAACATTTTTTAGGTTATTTCGAATAGACAGAAAAATATTACTGTCGTTCCTTGTAATTTAATAATTAATTCCATTTTTAGGGAGTAAATCATGAAAAACAACGTTGATGACGTCACGGTCACATGACAAAATTATGTCTATGAGCTGATAGACAAAAAACTTTCAGCCAATCAGAAAACGTGTTACATCCAATATTAAATTATATATGTTTATATGGTAAATTAATAAACTCATATGAAACTAGTTTCATGTTATTATAATGTTAAAGAACCAATGCATTCATATATACTATGTCATCTGTGCACATTCTGTTTTACATTTTGACGAATCCATAACGTATTATCGACAAAAATATTCATTCTTTGATTGTTGATCTAAAACGTTGGCTGCTAATTAACTTTCGGTTTGAAGCTGAAGTTAACCGACCTTCACCTATGTATATAAACAATAAACACAGAATCATGGAGCAAGTAAAAAATAAGTGAGATGATTAGGGGATGAATATTTGTTTTTATTATATTTTCCATGTCTTTCCATTTGTTAATCAAACTTTGTCATAACAATTTTTAGGTGTATTAA